TTTCTGTCCTGCCCAGTCCCATAGTCGTTCAGTCCCAAAGAAACACAAAAGAGGCCTATATTAATTATAAACTGGTTGGCCTATTAGCTCAGGCTTCTTATTAACTAATTCTTACATCTTACATTAACCCATTATTCTTGTCTGTGTTAGCCACATGGCTTGGAATCTTTGTCAGCAAAGGAGTCGCATCTTGCTTCCTCTGCAGCTTGGTGACAACTGCAGACTGAGCTTTCCTCTTCCCAGAATTCTCCTGTTCTCATCGCCCATCCTCTACTTCCTGTCTGGTTGTCTTGCCTATACTATACTTCCTGCCTGGCTACTAGCCAATCAGCATTTTATTAAAATAATACAAGTGAGAGGATAAAAGACCATTGTCCCACAGTAGCAGAGCCTGCAGGCGACTGCATGTTTGGGGTTCTGGATGCGGCTGTTGTGGGGAGATCACAACAGAAAAAAAATTCCTGGTGGGAGAAGCTGGTGACCCACAGCAGTGGGGAAGTGGCAGCTTAAAAAACACCCAAGTGATCTTACCACAAATTGGACAACAGATATTGTGGCTTCTTTTATTGTTTTGTTAAAATTAAAGCTTGGGAGTCAAATATTAGTGAATAAATCTAATAGATCCATGGAGCAATGGAGAAATGAGCACCTGAACCTCTTCTCCACCTTTCCAGATCAAAACGACTCACCTCCTTATTCCTCTGTGTCCCTCTATCTTCCTTTGAATCAGCCAGCAAACCCTATGGTCCACTCCAGTGGCCGTCTCAGAACAATAACACAAACAAATCTCTAGCAACATGGGCTATCTGAGCTCCTGCCTCAAACAAACAGGCAAAAAACTATGCATTTATCCAAGAGCTCTAAATGAAAGTATGAATCATTAGAATTTGCTATATTCCCCAACTGATAACTCCTGGGATATATATATATATATATATATATATATATACACATATATACATGTATATATGTGTATATATATTATAAGCACTTGCTTATATATTTTTGGAGAAAGAAAATTTCCATTTATAGTGGGGATGACTTCCAGGAAAATTGAGTTATTGATCACTAAACACACAAGTGCCCACCCTAGGCCCCAAAGAGGTATAATGTTTTCCTTCCTGACATCACTGGAAAACTGAGACTCACGCGGTCCCTAGACCATCCATCACAAAGACTAAGTTATAAGCTCCCCTGAGCAGTGTCAAATCTAAGGATGTTGCAAATTGTAGCCATCCCTGGCCGACAAGAGCTGAGAAAATTTTGGAACTTTAAAGGCACAGGTTGCAGAAAATGGTACCTGCTGGATCTCCTTCGCCGCCTGCAGAGATAAAGGGGGAAGGAGGGTAAGAAGGAGGACAGGCATGCTTCTTTTAGTGTCCCTAAGCCATCGGTGCAGAAGAATAGAGCACATGTGTTCTCTTGATCACCTTGTTGGAAGTTTGTAAAAGGTTGTTTGTGTTTTTCTTCTCTGTTCACATGTATAATAATATCTGCTCTTAAAAACATTGCAAAATTACAGGATTGTACAATAGTAGTAATAATAATAAACCTCCCAACTTGTTTGCCAGGCAGTGACAGTTAATAATTGTTGTTTATCCATTAAGACTGTTTTTTATGCATATCTCATGTGCATTTTTCTATCGTGGCCTATTTTCTTGTTTTATTCTCTTATTCATTTGGCCATTAATATGAAAGGTTGAATATTTGTGTGTGCGATTTGCTTTTCTTCCTTCTTTCTTTCCTTTCTTCCTTTTTTTTTTCCCCCTTCAAGACAGGGTTTCTTTATATACCCCTGGCTGTCCTGTAACCAGCTCTGTAGACCGGGCTGACCTGAAACTCACAGAGCTCCATCTGCCTCTGCTCAGCGGTGCTGGGATAAAATGTGTATGCACAACCCCCCACCCTGGCTGTGGGTGCTTTTCAATATTTCCTTCTTAAAAGCACAAAACACTGTAGTCGTTGATCAGTTAATCAAAAACTTCAGTAAGCAGCACTTGATCTGCTGAGGCAGGAGGATTAGCAGTTCAAGGCCAGCCTGGGCTGGCTATACAACAGACCCTGTCTCAGAAAAGGAAAGGGCCTGGGAGCTGCACCATGCAAACTTCAAAATAAGGATTTGATAATAGAAAACTAAGCTACCCCACCACCACCCCTCCTCCCACCCACTCCAGCCACACATACACATTGGCTGCAAATCTAAGTGGTGTGGTGCTTTAAAACCCTCCAACCCCCCTATCCCCCAGCTTTAGGACCTGCTCCCTCCCTTGGCCAATTCTATATTCAAGACCGAGACTTTGGCTGCAAAGTAGAAGGCATACCCTGCAAGCGCCTCGGCGCGCCCAGCAGCTTCAGCCGAGGAAGTACCCTGCCTGGAGTTTCTTCTCCGCATCTGACGCACAAGCACTCAGCATTTGCTTTCGCTTGATAAAGAATAAAGAAAGACAAGTGGCAGCTGCCTCAGGAGCAGACCAAAAACAAGCCTCGCTGGGCACCCCAGCCTTCACAAAGGCCGATTCAGAGGCTCACAGACAAACGGAGCAGCTGAAGACTTCAGCACGGTCACCTGCCCCAGTGTTAATTGCACATTTAAAGGACCGGCTAGGTGACCAGAGCGTATTTCCAACTGGCCTTTCATTAAGATGGACAGCAGAATGCAGATGAAGAACTGGAGTTGGGGTGGGGTTGGATGGTGGTGGCACACAGCTTGAAGCCCCCACCCCCCCTCCGCAAAGGCAGGCGGATCTCTCAGTTCAAGGCTAGCCTGGTCTGCTGAGCTAGTTCCTGGACAGCCAAAGCTACATAAAGAAACCCTGTGTCAAAAAAACAAAAGAACTGAAGATTGCTGCAAAGGTCACTGACTGCAGCCCTAGCCCCACCTCATTCCAACGAGACCACAAGGGCCAGGAAGATGGCCGGAGAAAAAGAGGAAGCCCTTTTCCAAGCTGTGTCGTTGTGAGATAACTGGGAGGTGTTTTCCTTTTAAAAGTATTAATCCTTTTTTGTTTGGTTTTCTCTGTGTAGCCTGGTTGCCCTAGAACGTGCTCTGTAGGCTAGGCTGTAATATGTGTGTACTGTTAAACCTGGGTTTCACATATGAGAAAGAATATGTATTTGTCTTTTTCCCACTTGTTAACCTTTCTTGTTCCTTAAGACTGTTCCTATCACATGTAAATATATTGATTTATATAAGTATGTATAAAATCTAGATTCTGAATATGGGAGAAAACATTGCAATATTTTTTTATGGTTTTTGTTTGTTCTTCATGACAGGGTTTTTCTTTGTGTAGCCCTGACTGTACTGGAACTCACTCTGTAGACCAGGCTGGCCTCGAACTCACAGATATCCACCTATCTCTGCCTCCTGGGTGCTGGGGTTTATGCTGTGTGTTGCTGCACCCAGTTCTGAACACAACTTATTTCACCTAACATGATGCTCTTCAGTTCTATCCATTTTTTTTTTGCAAATGAACCAATTTCATTTTTCTTTATGGCTGAATAAAACTCCATCATGTGTACCTATGTGTCATTATTCATCTAAACATGGGCATCCAGGCTGGTTCTGTGTCTTGGCTATAGTAAACGCTGTGTCAATAAACAAAACTGACTTTTGAAAAATAGTGTAGCAGTATCTATAAGGCACTCCTGTAGTCGTACAGTAATCTGTCAGACATGATTCAGTTTCATTCCTGTTGCTGTCCGTTTTGCATCAAATTGTTAATTTTTACAGATTTAGCTGCACTGCTAGTGTCCTCTGTTCGTAGTACCAGAGTGTCAAGGATGAAACAGTGTTTCTTCTAACTTTTCAATTTCATTTTTGCTTATTTTTCCATTTTTAGGTGTATGAGTGTTTTGCTTGCCTGTCTGTGCACCATGTGTGTGCTGGTGCCCGAGGAGGCCAGAAGAGGGCATCAGATCTCTGGAGCTAGCATTACAGATGGTTATGAGCACCTTGTGATTGTTGGAATTGAACTTTGGGTCCTCCAGAAGAGCAGCCAGTGCTCTTAACTACTGAGCTGTCTCTCCAACATTGTGTGTGTGTGGTCAGTTCTCTCCTTTTTATCGTGTGGGGTCCCTGATACTGAGTTCAGGTTATCTTACTTTGTGCCAAGGAGCATTACCCACTAATCCACCTCTTAAGTAGAAAAATTTTCCCATTAAAATGTTTACCAACAAAGTATGTTGTAGGAAGTCACTTGTTTGTTTTCCTGGCCGCCCAGACTCCCGAAATAATTACACAGAAACTATATTATTTAAATAGCTGCTTGGCCAATCACTTAAGTGTATTGCTAGCTAGCTCTTACATGTAGTATTAAACCATTTCCAGTATTTTTTTAAATATTTATTTATTATGTATACAATATCCTATCTGTGTGTATGTCTGCAGGCCAGAAGAGGGCATCAGACCTCATTACAGATGGTTGTGAGCCACCATGTGGTTGCCGGGAATTGAACTCAGGACCTTGGGAAGAGCAGGCAATGCTCTTAACCACTGAGCCATCTCTCCTGCCCTCCAGTATTTTTTTTAAAGGTTTCTCAAGACAGGGTTTCTCTGTAGCTTTGGAGCTTGTCCTGAAACTAGCTCTTGTAGACCAGGCTGGCCTCGAACTCACAGAGATCTGCCTGCCTCTGCCACCTGAGTGCTGGGATTAAAGGCATGCGCCACCACTGCCTGAATTTCCAGTATTTTATATTTTACCATGAGGCTTGTGGCCTACCAGCCTGTCTGTTGGCGGCTCCACGGTTTCTCTCTGACTCCACCTCCTTTTCCCCAGCATTGTTAGTTTTCCCTGCCTAGCTCTATTCTACCCTATCACGGACTCAAGACAGTTTCTTTATTAACCGATGGTATTCACAGCATACAGAGGGGAATCCCACATCAAAAGCACATGATAAACTGTGATTCATTTGAGAATCAAAGAAAATCATCGTCATTAGTATTGTTTCTGTATTACTGTCTTTTTTTTTTTTTTTTAACTATGTATTCCTGCCTTGCCTAGAACTAACTGCTGTGTAGACCAAGCTACCTGTGGACTCAGACACTCCGAATGCTAGACATAAAGGAAGGTATGTGCCATCACAGCCGGCTGTAGTAAGTTCTTCACTATCTCTTAGTGAATTCAGCTTTGTTTGTGAAGTCTGAAGAAATATTAACTGTTGTACACCCCTCACGTAAAAGCTCTGCTCATTTACTTCAGATAGACTTTAGAATTTTTCTGAGGCTTATAATTTTTTCTTTGACAATCATATAGAGATCAGTTACTGAAGAATATAATAATACTTAAGCCAAATTTTCTATGTGGTGGTATACACCTTTAATAAGCACTCAGAAGCAGAGGCAGGCTTAACTCTGTGCGTTCCGGGAAGTTTAATCTATATAACAAGTTCAAAGACAGACCGCCAGGGGTACCTGGTGAGACCTGTCCCAAAACCAAAGAAAGAAAAAGTTTTATTACTATCAAAGGAACACGGATATAGTATGTACTTATATTTTAAGTGGACTTATCATCTTCCAAGGCTTACGATGAAAAGCAATGGTTTCCTGTCCTGTGTTTTCCCAGTCTGACTCGCCTCAACCACTTAGAACCATTTCTTATCAGTTACTGCCCCAAACCATGCAGCTAGTTTATGGCATTTGCACTTTGGCTTTCTGATGGTACTCTTCCACCAAGTTCTAATTTCCTATTCCAGTTTGGAAGTTTTATTCTCAGACATGCTATCCACTTGCCACCCAGAGGTTTCTTTTATTGGAATCAGATTAATTTTGCTTTTTGTTCTTTAAACTTCAGTTTTAAAGCTACTTTTGGCACTGGGGGTTGAAGCTAGACCCTGGTAAATAATCTTCACTAGGTAAATAATCTACCTCTGTGCTAGATCCTACTCCAGCTCTTTGATTTTTACCTTCAAGTCGCTCCAATAAATCTCTGAATAACATCATCACGAAGTAAGTTTTCTAGTCTCAGATTTCTATGGAACTCTTTTGGGAGACTCTCAGACTTGACAGGTAATTTAGGTGTAACTTAGGCTGGAAGACTTTTGTCCTGCTGTCCTTCTAGCATGCAGCGTGGTTGATGTGCCTAGTGCACTAAGCTTTTTCATCGGACTTTCCTGGACTACCAGCCTGCAAATAATGACATGGAGATTTAGTATGAATGCTTGGCCTTAGCTTAGGCTTTTTCCCAACTAGCTTTTGTAACTCGGATTAGCCTGCTTCCATTAATCTACTTTCTGCCATATGGCATGTCCAACTTGCTCCTAGTCTGGTGGTGAAATACCCACCTCGATTCCTGCTCTTCCTCTCTCTCCCTTCCCCGAAAGGCCCACCTATTCTCTCCTGTCTATCTACTGGCCATTCAACTTTTTACTAAACAAATCATAGCAATACATCTTCAGTGTACAAAAAGATTATCCCAAAACAGGCTAGTGTTAAATTCCCTTGGGCCCACATTATTTGTATTTTTTCTCATAATAATTTAGACTATTTCATTTTATACTACATGCTATCAATAATATAGCATAAGTCAATTTTTTAAAAAATGGGTTTTTTTTTTTTGAGTGGTTTGCTTGCACACATGTCCGTGAACTACATGCCTACCTGGTGCCCACAGAGGCCAGAAGAAGGCATCAGATCGCCTGGAACTGGAGTTACAGTTATGAGCTGCCATATAGGTGCTGGGAATTAAACTGGGGTCTGTAAGCTGTATATGTTCACCACTGCTGAGCCATCTCTCCAGGGCCTTACACCTGTTTGTTTTTTGATGTTAACACGTTTACTGATGCACGCTCTAAACATCACTTTCCCAGCCGGGTGGTGGTAGCGCACGCCTTTAATCCCAGCACTTGGGAGGCAGAGGCAGGGGCATCTCTGTGAATTCGAGGCCAGCCTGGTATACAAGAGCTAGTTCCAGGACAAGCTCCAAAGCCACAAAGAAACCCTGTCTCGAAAAAAATCACTTTCCCTTATCATGGTTCTGTATAAAGCAGTTCATTTTGCTCCATTAGAAATGACTATTGAAAAATAGCTTCATTACTTCTATTATACGTGGTGTTTTATACGTTGTGATAAGCTTTTGCTAGAGCCCAGGCTGGCCTCAACTGATGAACTTTCTAGCTCTGCCTCCTGAGTGTTAGAATTATAGGCATGTACCATTCTGGGTTCAGACTGTATTTTTATGATGATTGTTTTATCTTAACGTTACTTATGTTTTATGCTAATGTCTATTTTTGGGTTAATATCTGATGTGAAATACAGGTTTTAGGGTGCACCTAGTTTCTGTTTTTCCTTGCTCAAAATAAGCAGATAGGCAGGAGTTTACATTTAAAGCATAGCCACCTAATTTCCAATGTAGGAAATCATATGGGGAACCAGCAGTAGGGAAAGGACCAACAAACACATGCATGAAAATGCTATAAAGAAACCCATTACTTTGTAAGCTGACTTTGAAAACTGTCAGACAGAAAAATCAAGACCGCTAAGATACATCCAAAGAAATGTGCTTTAATTACAGGGAAAAAACAAAACTTTAAAAATGTATGGTGTTTTTGACTTTAGATATTTATTTGCTGGTGTGTGCACAGAGGCCAAAGGAAGGTGCCAGGTGGCTTCTGGAATGCTCAAACTATTCTTTGACGCTTATTCTTTATTGGCTAGGCTGGAAACCAGCAACCTCCAGCAACCCTCCTGTTTCCGCTCTCCCAGAGCTGGGCTTACAGGACTGTGCTGGAGAACCAGTTTCTTACCTAGGTGCTGGCATCCAAGTTCCAGTCATGGCTGCACAGTGAGCACTCTTAAATCTTTGAGCCTTCTCTCCAGCTTATTTTTAGGTTTTGTTCGAGACAGGGTCTCACATAGAAACCTAGGCTGCCCTTGAACTCAAGGAAATACACCTGCTTCTGCCTTAAATGCTGGATTACAAGTGTCCACCACCAAACACAACTAAAATGTAAGATTATAGTAAAACTGGAAATATTTATCTTACAGCCATAAAGCACTACATCATAACTCATATTAAAGTATGTGGTGTATTACCACAACCAATCACTTACTATACTATTAAAGAAGAGAACACTGGTGTTTCACCAGCCATCTTTTATTAATGCAATATATGTTCATAAACTCTAGACAGTATTTTAAAATATACAATCTCTCAAACGGAATATTTCACTAAGGAGGACAATAGATAACTTTAGGGTCATCAGAGGTTTCACAGCACAATGCACAGGAATCTGCAGGTGTTCTGGGGAGCAGGAGCTTCACTCTTGAGCGAGTCGCTCAATGACACGCCGGTAGTCCTCTACCAACTCCTGAAAGCGCTCTTCCAGCTGCTCGTGCTGCACGCTTATTTCTATCTGGTTCATCTGGTTGGTCAGCTCTTCCGGTCTCAGGCATTTCTTCATCTTGGCAAGATCTCTTTGCTTTTTCTAAAAAAAAAAAAAAAAAAAATTGCTTTTTTTTCCCCAGACAAAGCATTTGCTTATATAGCTACAATTTTAAGCTTTACGTATTAAAAATAATAGTAGCTGGGCTAGAGATGGCTCAGCAGTTAAAAGTACTGACTGCTCAGAGAGGGCCTGCGTTCAATTTCCAGTACCCACATGGCAGCTCACAACCACTTATAACTCCAGTTCCAGGGGATCCAATACCCTTTTCTGAAACCCTGCAGGCTTCTGCATAAACCCAGGCACACACACACATAAAATAAATAAATTTAAAAAATAACAGTGGCAATGTGTTCAGTTTTGTCCTATGCAGGTTCTTCATTAGGAAACACAAAAACTATAAACCTTCCAAAGAGTTAACAAGGCCTATACTTGTGTCAAATGGTGGCAAACACATACATATGGCTGGTAACCAGCTCTGACCTAGGACTGATGGTGCACACTTACAATCCCAGCACTCAGACGTAGTTGGTACTCAATGCTATCCTGAGCTACATAAGACCTATTTCAAAAAAGTCATTATAAACAAAAACTATAAGCAATAACAAGTTGCCAGGGCTGGATATTAACTCAGAGTGCCTTACTCAGTGGAGGCATGCAAACATTTCTTAAATAAATAAAATACATTAATTGAAGATAACTGACACAATGTACAACTATTCTTATTTTACTGCAAAATGATTACTAGAGCTCACCAGTGACACTAGAATGGCCAACCAGGGAGCCCCAGGGATCTTCTTGTCCCCAATTCCCCCTAAATCTCCTATTAATAAGCAGAGAACACCACACTAGCATTTTTAGTGGGTTCTGGAGTTAATCTCAGGTTCTCATGCTTGTAAGGTTTTATGGACAGAGCCATTTCCTATCCTGTACACATCAAGGCTTTATAGAACGTGCTTTAAGAAAAAGCATGCAAAAATATCTGACAAACTGAACAAAAAATGTGAAAAGAACAAGTAAAATAATGGGATGAGTCTGGGCATTCAGGTTTTTAAAGGGTGTGTGTGTGTGAGAGAGAGAGAGAAACAACCCCCTAATGTCAGTTTTTAAGTGGCATAAAAACATTTATAGCTCAAGTCCTATAACTAATGGAAGAATATTTTCTTCTTCAATATAGCAGAATGATTTGCACTTTCCCATATCTGTCACTGTCTAGTTCCTCTTAAATACTGACAAGAATATAATGGTTAAAGGACTGGAGAGATGGCTCAGTGGTTAAGGGCACTTGTTGCTCTTCCAAAGGTCCCAGATTCAGTTCTCAGCAGCCACACGACAGCTCAAAACTGCCTTTCACTCCAGTTCTGGGGATGTCCTACTATTGTCTTTGCTGGCACCAGGCATGCATACAGTGCACACACATACATGCTGTCACTTATACATACACATTAAATAAAAATCTTAAAAATCTTTCTCCGATGCTTAAGAGACTCGAAAGTCTTACCTTATAAGGGCTAATTAGTCTTCTTTTAATGTCCAGTCGGTAGTTTCTGTATTGCTCAGCATCACTCATGTCAGTTACCAACAGCCGAAGAATTTCATAAACTCGTCTGGCATGTTGCTAAACAAATGAAACAAGAAAAACGTAACATTTTCATATTAAAGTGACAGTTTTTCTAAAAGAGCACAGC